ATATTAACTGTTATACGTGTTCGTGTGTTGAGGGATTTACCGGTAAAAACTGTGAAACCAACATAGACGATTGTGCCTCCAAACCTTGTCAGAATGGAGCAAACTGCACAGACAATATTAACGGTTATACGTGTTCGTGTGTTACGGGATTTACCGGGCAAAACTGTGAAATCAACATAGACGATTGTGCCCCTAACCCTTGTCAGAATGGTGCAAGTTGTAGCGATGGTATCAGAAATTATACTTGCATATGTCTCCCAGGCTTCGCTGGTCAAGATTGTGAAACAACAGTGGACGAATGTGCCTCTAATCCTTGCAAGAACGGTGCTGTTTGTAAAGACGCTATGAATGGTTACATCTGTAGGTGCAGAGATGGTTTCAGTGGGACTAACTGTGACGTAGCTACCTCTACCCCTAGTACCAGCAGTAGAATCTGGTTAAATGTCTTTAATGGTACTCGAGCATTCTCAGTCCGTATATTTTTTAACTTTAAAGAATTTAACTTCGGAAAAAATACATGGCAGGATATTGTGAATGCAAATATTAATAGGCTTGTGTTTTTAACTGCATGAATTAAAAATGATTGAGATGCTTTCAGATTCCACTGCTCGTTTTGAAAGAAAAAAGTTAAAAGTATTCGAATGCCATGGCACATATGTTAAATATTTAGTATATATCTTTATTTATCATTTTTTTTTCTCTTCAGATCCTTGTAAACCAAACCCTTGTCCAGAAATCGCACCTGGTCAACATGTTACTTGTCAACCTGATGGTGACGCTTATAAATGTGCCAAGCCCAGCGGTGAGTGTAATTTAACTTCCTGTAATTCGAATTTCATGTACAGTATGAATCAAAGGAGAGTTTAACACCTGTCCTAATTTACTGCTGTTTTCCATATTTTTTAAATGTTCAGTGGTCATCCCGTGTTATAACTTTTGAGGGTAAAAATATAAGGTACATGTACATACGTTTAAACTGTAAATATTTTACCATTTGTTTGTTTGTTTGTTTAATTTTATCAATTAACAATTACTTTCGGGCCTTTATTGCTCTAAAGGTTATTGTATGGACAACAAGAGGCTCTACAAGAAAGGAGAAACGTGGGACATCGGGTGCAGGGAGACCTGTAGATGCATAAAACCAGATATGAACTTCAAATATTGTGAACCAAAGTAAGTTTTTTTTACCACCGTGTACAAAAGTCTAATGAATAAAACTTTCACCTCCATTAAAAAATCTGCCAATCATTTTGATGTATTTTGGTATTTGGTGTGTAAATACGATCACTGGCATAGTTTGGTTAGTTTACATTTTTTTTACTTGAGAAAATGTTTTTTTTTTCTGAACAGGTTGTGCGCAGATTATAGAGTGACAGCTATTCCACCTGGGTGTAAACTAGACCCTCCTAAGCCTGGAGAATGTTGTGAGGCGGTAAAGTGTGGACAGCTGGATCCCGCAGGTTAAGAGCATTTATTGAGAAATAATGATAAACCGACATCCGTATAGCTTTGATAATTTCTACCGCAGTGGTTTATCTACCGTACAAAAACATTTAAGGACAGTATAAATTAGTAGAATTCTAAATGGGCACCACACCGACGTTTTTTTTTTTTATTATTTTTTATTTTTTTATTTTTTATTTTTTTTTGCATGTAACACAACAATGCAGTAAAAAAACTCCATACATCAGGATATATTTTTATCAATAATTTGTTTTCTGAAGAATATCCCTAACTATTCATTGTGTATTTATATTTGTAGTTGTTATCGTACTTATATCTTTTTTTTTTTTGTTTATTTATACTTTGCATTTGCAGCGATTCTGGTGTTTCATGATTAACTTTGCGTATGTGTCTGCATGTTTATACTTTTACTGCTTCAATTCGGGGCAGGTGCAAACATTTTTTTTCAAATTTAGGAATCTATAATAAAAAAAGAGAGAAAAATCAACTGTTTCCGGCAGAAATTTATGTCTTAATTATAATATTAATAAAGAGTATCGTTCTATTTTATGGAAAAAGCTAGATGCTCCAATGTGTCATTTAATCATTGTTTTTTGTGGGCATGGCATAACGGTTTCTACATGTATATCTGTGTATATTTATATGCTGATCGAAAAGCCGACTCTAGATATTACCCACGACCTAGTCCCTGAATAGATAAAGAATATAAAAAACAGACTACCCGAAATGTTACTCGTGTACCTCTAAGGATTATACAAGCAGCGTTACCCCTGACGTAAAAAGTTGTTTTATTTATTATCCCAAACCAATGAAATTACCGATACGTCATCGGGCGATCCCTATACGATAACATATACTGACTGTGATTAGGTCTAGCAGATCGAGTAAGGACACCCTTGGCTACTGGCAGAAAATGGAAGAAAGCTGGAGATGAATTGAATACCGTAGGCACATGTTTCTCAGCTAATCGTTTAATGCTATTTAATTTAAAACTTGTAAACAATTAAATTACATTTCACTTTTCATAACAAATGTTAACGTGTTAATTGAATTGCATTATGTTGTGTTTAAATGTGACAATGGTATATAATTAAAAATAAGAACAAATACACGAATCCGTACCGCCAAATGGTATTTCAAATATATATAATACCGGAAACCGAAATGAGTTTTCAGACATCTAATTAGAAAGCTTCAATTTCACAAAAAAAAATCTCAACTTACACATAGGCCAATTACCCCTTGCTGTGATTTTTTACTTCCATTTAAGTTTTTAACAACTTATTATTTCTGTTTTAAATCACTTAACATGGTTATAATAATTTAAAAAAAAGGAAAAAAAAAAAACTATAACCCATTACTAATAATATTCGAAATATATAATATTATAGTTTTGGTAAATATTTGAAAAAGTTTCATTTGCATACAATGTTCGTTGAATCGTCCATGTATGTTAACTGTTATTTTAAGGGCGTTCTGTTGTAGATAACTCAATGTCTGACGTCATGCCGTCCTATATTTTACGGTGGTGGTGTAAGCTGGTCACAGTTGAGCGTTTCGCAGCACTCTCCGGGTTTGGGAGGGATCACTTTACACCCAGTCTGAAGCCCCATCGTTCTCCAATCTGTGCTACACCTGTAAGGCAAAATGTAACAGTAATACAATAAACCAGCTCCAATATGTGACGCACCTATAAGGTAAAATGCAACAGTAATACAATAAACCAGCTCCAATCTGTGCTACACCTGTAAGGCAAATGCAGCAGTGAAGTAAAGGAAGTTAAGTATGAAGACTCTATCCTTTATACAGTATGTCTCTAATATTTGGTTTCACAATTTTACAATAATAACCAAGGTGTAACTACATACTTGGCTTCGCAGTAATAGAAGTTCATATTCGAAGAAATGCACCGACATGTTTGCTTGCAACCGATGTCCCATGTTTCCCCTTCCTTGTAGAGTTTATTGTCAGCCATACAGTAGCCTATAACACAAAAAATAATTGAGGTTTTTCAATATTGATTTAAAAAGATAAATAACATAATATTATTTTATAAAAAAAATTTAATTAGTTAACATGGTCTCTTTTAGAACATTTTCCATTAATTTGCATTTCATTTGTGCAACAATTGTCGTGATGCACTAGTGTTGTCTTTTAAGATTGTTCACATAGCAATAAAGCAGCGAAGTCGGGCACAGAAAAATAAGAATAGTCTGTCAAAAAAAAATTTTTTTTTGAATTAAACAAAATGAGCATCATAAACCTACCTTTGGGTTTCATTGTCGAAGGGGTAGTTGCCACGTTGATACTCGGCACTGTGGTCGCAGGAAGCTCACAATTCATTCCTTTAAATCCCAGCTGGCATAAGCACGTGTATCCATGCCCCTTATTTATGCATGTTCCACCATTTCTGCAAGGATCTGAGGCACACTGGTCTCTCTGGGTTTGACAGAATAATCCGCTGTACCCGTTAAGACACGCACAAGAGTAGCCGCCTATGGTGTCACTGCACGTTCCACCGTTAAGGCAAGGGTTGGATGCGCATTCGTCGATGTTGGTTTCACAGTTGTCACCGGTAAATCCAACAGGACAGGAGCAAGCATAGCTGGCGATGAGGTCTGTACAAGAGGCCCCATTTTTGCACGGTTTAGACGCGCAGTCATCCACGTTTGTTTCACAGTTTTGACCGGTAAATCCTGCAAGACACGAACACGTATAGCTGTTGATATCGTCGGTACAGCTTGCTCCATTCTGACAAGGTTTAGAGGCACAGTCATCTATATTGGTTTCACAGTTGGCCCCGGTGAATCCTACTGGACAGATACATGTATACCCATTAATACCGTCCGTACACGTCCCGCCACTTCTACAAGGTGAGGAAAGACAGTCATTGATGTTCACACCGCACGTTTCTCCCGTGAACCCAGACGCGCAGTCGCACGAGAAACCATTCACTCTGTCGGTGCACTTGGCGCCATTTTTACAAGGTGCAGACTGACAGTCGTGTATGTTGGTTTCGCAGTCCTTTCCCGTAAATCCAGAGGAACAGGTGCATGCATATCCCTTTGCAGTGTCTCTACATGTTCCGTTGTTTTGGCACGGGGACCTTGTGATGCATTCTGTAATTAAAAATCAATATACGACAGGTACTTAAAATAAGTACAAGGCGACGACAAATGAAACAGAATTTTATGAATTAATACGTATGATAACCTTGACATTAACCCCAGTGGAAATCCACCCTACCGTGTTCGAAGCAAATAATCAGACCGAAAAAGGTTGGGTGGTATCGAAATCTTGAGGCATTCTGTTTGCAAATGTGGAAAATCGACAGACTGCATTAAATGTCATAAAGGGAATATGAAGTAACTGCAGGAAGAGATTATATCGCTTGTCGATCAGCAAACACAAAGGAAGGTATATTCTCATATTTTTATTTTATCAATAATGCCCAAAATGTAAGAGGACTTTTAGAGTTCCTTAGCATTTTTAGTTGAAATGTTCCTAAGTAATGGTCTCTTAATTTGATCTACTGCAGTAAATGGTAAAAAAATAACTTCAAATTCCAATTATTGCCTCTTTTTTTTTTTTTTTTTTGGGGGGGGGGGGGTAATAACGCACGGCATAAACGCATTATGAACCAAACTACGGATATTCTCTTTTGTTTAATTTTCCCCATAAATTTATCTATCATACTTTGCGTCCTTGATGTGGGTAGTGGTAATCATCACAGGTGTTAAAGCATACACAGGATGGATGGATTAACCCCGATAAGCGTGGTTTAAAGTCTACTGAGGGCCACAGTGTCAAGATTCTGGTGAGGTCTCATCAACATTCATCGACTATTACTGATATGTAATTTGCATTGACCCAACTTCACCTAATTTTGCGATTTGCTACAATTTCATATAATGAATCAAAATCCCCAATTACAAAAAAAAGTTAAACGAGTACAGTACCACTTAATGAGCACGTCGGTTCTGTGCCAGTCCAGCGTAGCTGTGCCAGGTTGTTGTCCACCTGGCATATACGGACTCTGTTACCTGCGGTCATAATGTACCCACTGTCGCACGTGTATGTCACCGTCCGTCCTCTTTGGTTACCGGTGACTCGCATAGTACCATGGACTGGTTTTTTGAGGGCTGGGCAAACTGAATTAAAACACGAACAATCATATATATCTGATTATGATGAAAGCAAAAGGATTAAAGTATCTGTTTGGTGGACAGAGATGGAAACGTTATATTTAATTACTATGTCGTAGGGATTACTCTTGTTCATTAACAGCCGTCAATTTAAATTAAGTTATATTATTCGTAGTTTTATGACAGTAGAGATTAAGTGGGCACCTCCCTCCCCCTCCTCATCAAATAAACTCTTATAATTAAAACAATTGTATTTTTATATCAAATTATTGTGTTTGTTTGTCACTCGGTTATGTTTGGCTAGTCAGTGCTAAAACGACGAAGCAGTAACTGGCAAACATACACAATGTTTTACCTTCTTTAAATAAAGTTTATTATTATTATTATTATTATTATTATTATTATTATAAACGTACGGTCACAGTGTGGCCACGATCCACTCCAAATGCCGCCCAACCGACACGTCTGCTTCACGGGGCCGGAGAGATGCACGTAACCTTTCTTGCACTTGTACTTTACGGCTTCGTTCAGGTAATAATGGTTCTTAAATGGAACAATTCCCTCAACGTTGCTTGGTGCGTTATTGCGGGTGCAAAAGCTCACTGAAAATGTCAGTTATAAAGGTTACCTTGCATACAGCTTCTATAGCTCAAAGAGATTGATTTGAACGTGACGAACTCATAAATAAAGACAACTACAAAAGTTTGTCTGTGTCTGTGATTGACCTACTTACGGACACATTTAGGTTCTGAGCCGCTCCAAGTGCCGCCTTTTTCACAGCTTCTCTCCAAGGAACCAGCTGTTAGGATATAATCCTTCCGGCATTTGTACTTTATTTTTTGCTTTACGTTATATGTATCTTTCAGTTTAAGTTTGCCGTCCATGTTTGGTGGCATTTGGGGAGGTGTACAGAATTTTATGGACTCTTTTACTGAAAAACAAGATAAATGTTTTAACATTGATACAGAATGGGTCATTAAAGGAAATCATGTTGCATATCTGCTGGTAGGTTGATTTTTCAAATTCATTGCATGTAGTGATGTACTAATTTCAATTGTTATCAAAATACTATGTAACATTGCTATTCTATAAGAACTGAATTTTTGTTCGAATGTAATCAGAACTGAGAAGTAAGACCAAGCGTATCTCTTATTGACCTACTTACGGGCACATTTAGGTTCCGAGCCACTCCAAGTGCCGCCTATTTCACATGTTCTCTCCAAGGAACCAGATGTGAGAGCATAATCCTTCTGGCATTTGTACTTTATTTTCTGTTTGCCGCCATATGTATCTTCGACTTTAATTTTGTCGTCCATGTTTGGTGGCATCTTAGGGGGTTTACAAAAATTGGCTGAAATTATCAAGAAGAATTGAAGTGTATGACCATCAATTAATTGTGAATGCAAGTTTATAAATAAAAAAAAAAAGTTAGAATATAAAAGGAAATTCAGCTGCACAGGAGTATGAAAATTGCATTATCATCTTCGTTTGATTATCTGTTGTACATTAGAATGGTGAACATTTTGTACAATGTTTTATATATATATATATATATATATATATATATATATATATATATATATATATATATATATATTTTTTTTTTTATTTATTTATTTTTTTTTTTGCAACTAGCCATGCAACTTACGAACACATCTCGGTTCCGAATCACTCCAAGTTCCATCTTTGTCACACTTCCTCACCAAGGAACCAGCTGTGTGTACGTAGTCTTTCAAACACTTGTACTTTATTTTCTGGTTTGGTTTATAGGTGCTTTCGGAGTTAACGTTGCCATCCGTATTTGGTGGTGCAGCAGGGGATGTGCAAACACCCCCTGAAATGGCGAATCGAACCGTAATCTTTAAATGCTGGTATCAAAAGATATACACATTTTTTTTAAAACATGCTAAACTAGCATTGACTGGCATGACAAAACTTTCAATGCTTCGATATCGGAGCGTACCCATGCCACTTCGACCGCCGTTAATGTAAAGTGGACATTCGGGGAGAGGCATTAGTCTTTCACATCTACATTCAAATTTTAAGCATCTCTTACACTCGCCCGTGTGTTAAAAACTACTTGCCCTTTGAACGTTTAGGTCTTGCCTTCATCTTTCTAAGCGTTCCTGCCCCAAGCGTGTCTTGTAGCGTCAAACATGCAAATACGACTAAGAACAGGGTGAACCGCATTTTGACACCACCTAAACCACGCTCGGTCACCGACAAAAGTGTTGGTTAAAGCACATCTGGTGTCTATACATTAACTAAAATATGTTGAGATCTAGGCTAAGTCTATGCACGGGTACCGTGCGTGATAACACCGGGCGTAGGCTGACTGTGCCGCTGCTACACGTGCTGCACACAAAAACAGGTGTAAAGGGTGATTAAATATCGCTTAAATTTACACCCCCACTATTCGTTCATTGAAGAGCTTCAAAATATTACTACACATAACCCAACATAAATGCTACACATGTCTAGCCGTCTCAATTGGGATCGCAAGGAACGAAAAGGGGCGGTATAAGAACCCTAATACAGATTTTGTTTTACATGTTTAAAGGTGTGTCGATTTATATTTGGATATCGCCAACAATGACACCAAGCTGTACAATTGCATCAAAAAGTTAGTACTGCACATGTCTAGCCGTCTCCACTCTCGCTAGAACGAGAGGGGGGCGATAATAGACTATAAGGAACGGGCAATAAAGATTTGTTCTATAGGTTTGGTAGCTGTTTTTGTGTCGGGCAGCCAAATATACAGACTGTTGCAGTCAATTGTCATCTTATCAGTATGGGTAACATTCCTGTACTTAACACGGGCTCCAAATGTGCCCTGTATTCTTATAATTAACAAAAGCGAACATATCCAATGTTCTTGCATTTAAATTAAAAAAAAAGTTTTATCTGAAAAAAAAAATAAAATAACCGCTACTCAAAAATATTGGCAGTGTTTTATTGTCATTGTTAAATTTCATCTAGC